CCCATCGCGGCGTTCTGTAGGCGTACATTCAATGTGTGGTAGGCCGAACGGACGCGCGTATTCGCCAATCTTTAAAAATTAATATTTCGTTAACTATTGCTGCAATCTCAAAATGGTACAGGACTTTTCGACTCAGTTCGGTCTACTCTACCTGCTCATGATAGGTGATTCGCTCGATTAATGACACCCTGTATATAATATATAGATAAGATATTATATATCTTTATACTGTATTCTCAATTTTCTTTTTAATTTGTTTTAACATTTTTTTTATTTAAGTGAATAATTTTGCAAATCTATGTATATAATATAAATAATTTTTGTAATCAATGGTTTACAAAATTTTTATATTTTGTATTTAACTATCGTTAAGTATTATTATTTTGTTTGTATGTAGTTAATAGGAAGGTGAAAATTGAAACGATACTAACTGTCCTTAAAACTGTGTGCTTACGGGCCAAAATAGAAAGATATGTGTAAAATGTGTATGTTTCTTACAATTTTATATTTAAGGCAAGTTTGAAAGAAATCAAAAAGTTATACTTGGATAAGTTTACTTGTAAGTAAAGCGAAAGTTTATATCACTGCTTATGTCGAATATTGAACAGTTGTTTTTCTTGCATGACCTAAAATCCAAATAAAAGAGAACGATGAAATAAAATTTGCACATGAAAGCATTTACTTTTATTCGTATATCTTTATGATTACTAAATGTAGAAAAAAGTAATGGAATCGTATGTACATATATTTGTTTTTGTTGTACATTTACGAGTTTTACTGGGTCACTATTAATTGCAGTAGTTTTAATTAAAAAATGTTTACTGTTGTATTGTTCAAGCATTTGTACGTAATTCTACGTTTATGTGAAATAGTAGAGGAAAGGCTCCTATTATGAGATACTGAGTTCACTTTAAGTAAATGCTAGAGGTTTGTAGGCAGAATTTAAAAAAATAATAGGTTACTTTAAAGGGAATTTAATAAGCTTAAGATAGTGTAAAATTTAATTCAAATTCTATTTTTTTTTAATCAAAGGAATGTAAAAGGTGAACAAATCGCAAAGTCAAAAAATTGTGCTCCTAATATGAGATACCCCGAGAAATCGATAATAAAGCGCAAAGTACATTAGTGCTACAATTAAAAAAACTTTATTTTTCTATTAGTACGATCTTACTCTATCATTACATAAAGAATTTATTGCCAAATATTTACTTATTAAATATTAAATAAAGATTAAAGACTCATCTCAATGAAACTTGAATATGTATTCAATATGTTGAATATGTATTCAAGTTTCATTGAGATGAGTCTTCCTATACGTATAGGAACGATTCAACATTGAATTTTCCACACTAAATAGTTTTTAATCCAAGAGCATGGTGAAATCAACAGATATCGTTTATTAGTTTAGCAGAAACGCCGCTATCTCATATTAAGCGCCTATTTCATAATAGGGGGCTTACGTCTAATAATCTATACTATTATAAATTATTATAGTATTATTGAAGATAATTATTATGTTCTAACGACACATACATTTTTAGAATATTTCATGAACTAGGCGGAGTACAGTCACATAGAGTGATTGTAACACCATTTCGGAAGATTGTGCTCGATAAAATAATCAAGAATCAGTAATGTACCATATATCCCTCTCTGTGATCCTCCTTGAATAAAAAATTATTCAATTCAATTTGTTAAGTAATAATGGTGCGTGGAATAAATATCATATACATATGTATTACATTAGCATAAAGCTAACAATAAGTTACATGTATGATAAAAATAATGTAGACTGTAGACAATAGAAGAGTATTGCAATATAATATAATAATAAAATTATAATAAAAATATGATATAATGTATAAAGTGTGGTATAATAATGGTGCTCTAATTTTTTATATTATTGCTTTAGCAAGAAGGTAACGTTTATTTATGAAATTTGAGTGCAGTGCAGAAGTATTATTATGAATAACGGCATTAAACAAAATTAGATGAAAAATATGTATCATAAAGGAAAGTTGTACTTCATAATACTGTTATATTCTCAAATTCTTTTGTTAATAGAATTGTTAAATATGTTGCAATTACATAAAAGATATAATAACATACTATAAGGATAAGCTTATTAATTTATTCTGTATTAATAAATATCTTATACAAATATACCATAATATTTCGCTCTGATATATCAAACAATTGTTTTTTAATTATAATCTTAAGTAAGGTATAACGCGATATCACATAACGATATATATATTTAGATCTTATTAAAATCATATGCTTCTATCAACTGTAAAGATAAAATAAAAATAATGAGGCTAAGAAACTATGTTGTTAGTACTTACCAGTATGTTTACAAAAATAAAAATAATAAAAATTAAATTTGACATTTATTACAAAACGGACGTTTCGACCTTTTTACATGAGACCATCTTCAGTGTCACTGTAAAGATAAAATTATTTATTTATAGATAGAGAGCAATCCTCCTCTCCCACCCCATTTTTCATAGTAAAAATATTAGGTAAATATATAGAATAGGGGAGCCCCCCCCCGATGATCTTGACCTTGACATATGTTGTCAAGGTCATGACCCTGAGTAACCTCCCGCAGGTTTTAGGTGGCGGTCACTGTCCGTTAAAAAGTTATTAACAAAAAAAGTTTCAAAATTAACGTATAATTTCTGCCATATATGTATTATAACAAGTACTATTTTACATCTCCTTCTGTTTAGAAACGTTAAACTTTCCACGCAAAGTAACTCTCACCTCCCCCAACCCCCTGCGAAGGGGCACACGACTTCTACAATTGTACTGTTGCTATGATTGTACTGTCGGGGCAGACCTCTCTCACTTCCACAATTCGTGTACTTTCGCAATGTTCATGCGCGTGTTTCTAACCTTTTTCATCATATACGTATTCAATAGTGAAGTTGAGTTTGTTATTTGACATATAAAAGTATCGATAAGAGTTGAAAAAAGGAAATAATACCTCGATCTTGTTATTTATGTAAAAGGAAAAGTACAGAACAATTCAAAATACACGAATGCGCAATTCAAAGTATACGAATTGTGGAAGCGAGAAAAGAGGCTGCGTTAGCCATATAGTAGTATTGCATATATGCTTGTACCATGTTATAAAATTAATTATGTATAATAATAGTATTATTAATTTTTTTTACTTAATACATAATAAAGGTTACATTACAGAATTATATTAAAATTTTTGCTTTGCACAATTGATTGAATTAATTGCCGATATTAATTAGACTTTGGTTAAAATCACTTATATTCATTACATATATAGCGATAATTATGCAACTTTTAATCACTTTTCATAATCGTCATTATTAGTATCACTGTTGCCTGAAAAATAAATGTCTTGTTCAATTTTACATAATAAGAAAATTAAAAGTTAAATTCATTTTGAAGAACGAAATTATAGAATGCTTTATTAATAGAATAATTGATAATTTAACAAGATAATATAATTTTAGGATTGCCTTGAGGTTTGTTAATAATTTTATAAGAAATTGAATATTAGTTTATTTCTTCTCATTGATGATTTTCTTTATAGATAAACTTTTGTTGAGCTTTCACCTCTAGATCCTGCTGGTTGTCAACACCTTGGAGACTTATTTTGGAAGTTCCAGTATTTACTGTGCTATATATACAAAAATAAAAACACTTTTATTATACAAATATAGATCTCTGTACGATTTTTTTTCACCGAGTTATTTAACTTTGAAGTAAAAATGACCTTTCTGTTTCAACGTTGAATAACGTAATGAAAAAAAAATCGTACATAGGTCAATAAAAAAACAAATTAAAGATAAAGATTCACTCTTTCGAAAGCTGCAAACTGCATTTGTGCACAATTTTTACTTGACGCCGTGAAACTTCGCAAATTTTGTAAAAAATTTTTGGTTAGATGCACTTTTATTTATGTTTGTGTAACTCTATAAATATCAGTAAGACCGTTTTTCGAAATACCGGTCTGAAAAGTAGAGATTTCAAGATGTAAAATGCTTTTTCAAACATCTCGATATGATAATTTTTGACGAAATTATTCTATCTCAAAGTTTGCTTATTTTTGCAGAGTGGAACAAGTGATCCTTTAATTTTGTTGACCAGTGTATTATATTTATATGTTTGTACGTATTCATATCTTTTTGTATCTATGTACACATATAAATATGTTTATATATATACGCATCTGTATACAGGGCGTTTCACAACTACTGCATTTATTTTATGGATTTATTTTTGAGATGATTTTATGATGAGAATCTTAACACAAAAATGTCGAGACTATAATCGTTTTTAAATTAATTGCAATTAAATTTCGCTAAACACAGTTGACATTTTGCACGCACAAGCATGATAATATGACAAGTAGTAAATGTACCACGATGGTTTCCATATTTTTCAAAAAATTCTGTTCCTGAAAGCTATTTGTATATTTTTAATTATACACATGTATATAATTAACATCGGAATAGTTTTGTATATCGTAAGAAAATATCAATTCAATAACAAGATATTACAATATGTATCAGCTATCAAAATAAATTCGTAACTATGTTCATCACACTTATCTTGTATAATTAACATTTTGATTGTAATGTTGATAAACTATTTTTGACATGAAATTAATTAAATGTATTAAATTGTAATAATTTTAGATTTCATCAAAAAATTACTTCAAAATACGTCCTTAAAAAGAATATCGTAATTCTGAGGCACTCTGTGTATATATGTGTATTATATCATTACATGAAAAATTTTTTACCTGGTATAACAGTGAATAAATAATAACAACTAAAAAGATCAATATAGGTATACGATGCCCAACTGTGTCGTTTTGAATATTATTTTTATTTTATGGACTCATATATTATAAAATAATTTTTGTTAATAAAATATTTTTAAGTAACATAGATACACGTAAATTAATTATAAATATTAAAATTAAATTTTGATAAACATTTAATACTTTTTATTATTTTAAAACGATATGGATATTTTTGTTAAACACCTCACTTTTGATAAATGATTATTATGACAAAATAACTTATAATTCAAAACAGAGATTGATCATGCCATAACAGAGATGTACAGTTTAAAAAATTTATATAAAAAATTAACGAAAAAACAAAAAGTTTCAAATTTTAATAAGAAAAACGTTTCATACCTAATTGCTTTTTGATAAAATCTTCGAAAGCCTTAACCCTCGTATATACGCCTGGGTAATTTGGCCGAGCGCATTCGTAGCCCCATGAAGTAATTCCAACAACGTACGGCGTATTACTTCTAACAGCCATCAATGGTCCACCACTATCACCCTAAAAGTCATTTCAAATCGAAGAGAAATATATTAATAAAATGTACTAATAAAATATTTATGCAACAAACACACACAAATTATTAAAGATTTCTTCTCGTTTTTTTGTTTTACTATTAGTTTTAAAAATTAATCACTGTGTTAGTGCATCATATTTACAACGAATTTGTTTCTTAGTATATATCTATTACTTATATATTAACATCATTAAATAAAAGAATAATAAAAGCATTCACAATAAAGATTAAGAAATTGATAGAATTATACATATTTGATGAAATAATTTTATAGTAAAAATAATACCGAAGTAAATAATTAAAGGGCTAAAATTTAATTTTATTAAAAATAATTTAAATTAAATATTTATCGATTTAATTAATTAAAGAGCATAGTTTGTGTGTGGGTGTGTGTGTATATTGTATATATGCAACGTGTATATATATATATATATTGAGAAGACTAAATTCTCATATTAATTTCTTTATTTGTTTATTAAACTATGTAGAGAGAGGTAAAGATGTGATGCGCAAAACATTCATTAATTTTTTTATCACAACTTTTCTATTTCTTCCTCTCACCTGACAGGTATCTGTTCCACCTTGCTTATATCCTGCGCATATATTGCGGTTGTCAATGTCCTGCTGGTATTGCGCATAAGCAGCTTTGCAATCATCCAAAGAAACTACGGGAACAACTGCATACAAAAGATGAGGACTTGAATTGCCCCCTAAAAAATAAATACAGTTATAGCAAATTTCAGCACTTCTTTAATAAAAAGATTATTGTATATTTATTATCAGATTATAATTAAGCAAAAATCAATTTATTCTACAAATTATTAACGATAAATAACTATTATACTTACCATATGACGTAGTCCCCCATCCAGTGATCAAAACATTCTCCCCTTCAATGCAATCATTTTCCAGTTTGAACGGGAGAGAAATGGGATAACGTAGATCTGGAAGTTTACAGAGCTTATTAATCTATCATATTAAGACAAGAGAAAAGAATTTTTGTCCTAAAATATGTAATATTTAATATCGAATATTATAGTAATACATAATTCAATACATATAGTAATTTAAAAAATACCGACTTTATAAATTTAATATTGATTTTAATTTAGTTGTATGATTATAGAAAAGATGTGATTAATGTAAAATGATTTGTGTGCAAGTTTGTGTATTTTGATGAAATCATATAATTCTAATTTAAATGTAAAAGAGAAACGATAATAATTAAAAACTTAATATAATAAATCCTTTAAGAAGAGAACCACGTGTAAGTCCTCTAAAAAAAAGGATAATTTTATGAAATTCTTTAAATGAAACAATGTGTAGCGAATCTTTTTAAAGATCTTATTACACATTTTTAAGTACGGAAAAAATGTTTTTAAAAGAATAATTAGTTTTATAGAGCCCTTAAACAGATGTTGACGGCCTCCTTATCGGAATGCAGGAATTATATTGCCCTTTGTACTTTAAGACAACTGCAATATACAGTAATTATTAATTTCTTTATGAAATTACCTTTTTGATTAATAAAGAAAGTAAGAAAAAGATTAAAAATTGAGAAAAAAGCTTTAAAGAAATTATGATTTTACAAAAAATTGTATTCTACCTATGAAATAAAATTTGTTTAAATTAATTATATTTTTTAATTTTATAGGTTCATCGATGAATAAATTTTATAAACTACATGTGTTGCACCGGTACAACTTAATTGACCGATAATATCTGAGTAATCTTCCGCTTCAATATCCAATTTCAAAAAAATGGTTATGAGTAAATCGCATTTGAAGTTTTTGATATTGAAAAGAAAAAATTATATTAACATCAGGTCTGTTTCGTATTCTTGCAGTATTCTGCACTAAAATTGTTTTTCTCACTTTCAAAAGTATATGTATACTATAGTTCATCTGTAGAAAACAGACCTATACAGACAAGATCAATTAAAGGATCTCTTATTAAGATTAAAGTTGGGCGCAAAGAAATAAAGAAATGGATTGAGATTCTTTAAAACTTTGTATTTCGTTCTGTAACTTTGAAAATATATTTTTTTACACATATCTACCATATTGATTAACGCAAAATAATTTTACAATTTTTTGAACCGCTTATACGAGACTCTCTCTTTGAAAATCCTGGTAAACTTTAATTTATTTTTTTTATCTCAAATAAAATTTCATTATTTAATAAATTTTATTGAAAATCAAATATAATTTTGAAAACAAATTTATATTTATAGAATATAATATATAGAATAAAAATTTACCTGTAAGTGTTACTGTGCGAGTCGTTTTTACAATCGCCACATCGTTTTCTAAGGTATTTGCATTGTATTGCGGATGAGCTGTTTGACTCAAAACGTTATCCTGAAACGAATGTGCTCCATCTTGATCGTTGTCGAGATTCAAGTCGGCAACGCGTACTATGTCCACAGGTAAACAATGAGCGGCGGTGATTACATGACGATTGGAAATCAAACTACCACCGCAGATAAACGAAGGATCGGATGAATCCCCTATTCCAAGAGCAACCATCCAAGGAAACTGACCTGCAAAATTAATCAGTAATCTTAACGATAATAATTAAGTATTGGAAGAAATACTGATGAACTACATTCATATAATAACTTTTTATTACGTAAATAAGTATTTTAACAAAACTAATACGAATACGAAGCCTATAACAGTTTAGTTTGGATCTTAGTTGCTTATATATAATTTCGTGTGAATTTATATACTGATTTATGTATAGTCTTTTTAAACTGCGCGTCGAACAATTGTCGGTCTTGAAACACAACTAATAAACTACCGCAGTACTATCACAAATTAAATTAATTAACAATTTAATAATTAATTGATGCTCTCTTGGCATCTTGAATCGATGTTAAACTATATTAAAACCTAAAAATAATAATTCTCTTTATTGTGAAAAATATTACCTCGAACGGGAGTCGAACTCATCGCTTGATTTATGCGCAAGTCTTCTAGCCAATTAGACTACCGAGGTCTTAGTAATATTCCTCGCAATAACTAGTATATGTAAAGTGACGAAAGTTTTCTTTCAGGCACGTAAATAAACAATATTCAATTCTAAAGACCGTTAATATAAGAACGTAACTAATGCGAATACGAAGCCCATATTAATAATTAAATATATTTTAATTATTAAATATTGATTTTTATAAATCCGTCAGAATCTATTAAAAATAAAAAGTACAGTAAGTTACTTATTTTTTTCGAGATTAATTTAGTAAAAAGAGTTTTTATTTTCAATTAGTTGCAATACAAAATGACACTGCAACATTTTTGCAAGAAACAATATAGTATTGGTAAAAAAATACTCCTGCATAGAATTATTTAAAAAAAACGAAAAACTTTTAAAAGTTTCTATATAAATTGAGACAAATTATTTTTTTTGTACAAAATTCTGAATTTAGGGTATCTATCATGGAATAAAGTCGGAACGAGTTCCGATCGGAAATGTTCAATTAATACTTAAAATTCTATTGTGATTATTAGGAAAAACGGAATAATTCCGATTAGAATCCATTCCGACTTTGTTCCATGATAGGTATCCTTAAACAGTTTATCAAATATATTTGATAAACAATCAAAAAATATATTGCAACTTTGAATCAAGTGACGGGCGAAGTCGAGTAAGATTTATTGTGAAACGAATGAATATTCAAACAATTGATTATTTCCAATTTTGCACAATCGGATGTGTTCCAGTAAAAAATATAAGGTTGTTTTGTGTGTTTATTCCTCAGGCAAAACACTAGGGAAGAATCGATTATCGGATAATCAATAATACTCGCAAAAATTCACAAAAGCGTGTATAGATGCTTTTACCGACTTAAGTAGGTATAAGCAGGTAGACCATAGAAAAATGTAATGTATCATGCATTATTTACAATGGGCAGTAGTAGTAACGGTGAGGTTATAAAAGCAAGAAATTGAGAGCATTCGATTATGCTTCTCACATTCGATTATGATTGTAAATTTCTTATACTCTTACACCCTCATCCATTACTACTGCCATTGTAGACGACGTATAAAATAGGTAGAAGCAATAATGTAGTATTAAATACTATTAAAGAGCCACCCAGGTATAGAAATTATAGTTAAATGTGAGAATAATAATAAAATACTGATTATTTAACTGTTTTTTCATCATACAAAAATTATTCATACCTAGTTCAGCTTCTGTGCCATTAACGATTCTCTCTACTGACGGAATATTGTATTTGGGTTCAAGTACAGAATTGTACTTAAAATTCTTATTTCGACGAACCTCTCGATCGCTTTTCAATCCGATAGCACTGCCTATAACAACATTAATAACAATAATAATAATAACAAAAACAATTTTTATTGTTTGGCTTATCCATGGTCTAAAGCCAAGGAACTTTTGCTTTACATTAAATTCTTTTACTCTTCACATTTTCACTAACATTCTTCCTCGCATTCTTCCAACATACACAATTCACTTCTTCTTTCTTTCCATCCCTAAAGTGTCTTTGTTCATGCTTATATGTATCCGCACGTTTTAAAATATAGTACGCTGTATGCTCCATTCGCATCAGTCAAATCAATGCACAATCCGACCGTAAACAAATTCGATCATTAGCTGCAGTTTTTCGCAGACAATATTTTACGTGAACACTACAGTAAATATACAGTTGCAATTCTAGGATACTTTATCACTTGATTATAACTTGTATTTGAGTTGCAATATTCGCTTCCAAATACGAATAATCCCTTTCAATTTATGAATTACAGCAAACAAAAATGTTTTAATAATTTTCTGTACTAATAATAAATGCGAATGCCACATGGCAAATTACGGAGCAGTAATTGCGCATAATTTTCATTGGACTTACATTGTAACGACTACTAAATATAGCATGAATTTTAATGTATTCTCCATAAAATTTTATACAGATTTGCATGAAATTTAATATGCGCAAATTCATTATATTTAAGGCTACTCTAAACATAGTTTTCAGTTAAATTATTCATTACTTTTTAGTTACCTCTTAACTACAAGTTTTTGTTACATGTTATTTAAATTTATTACAAAGTTTCTAACAATGAACTATTGAATAAATAAACTGTCTGTGACCAAGATATTCGATCTACCGTTTATCACGATCTTTAACCTCTCTTTTCTTTTATACGTTTTATAATTAACTATTTGTAATATTTTCCAATCTTTCAACTATTCAATAAACTAAAAATTATTACAATGTTACTACAGAGATTATCAATAACATGTGACTTTTTTCAAATATATTGTATAGGTACAATATTTAACCTGTATATTAATATTGTGTATATTGTATATCATTTGCGAATAAATTTTGACACTGATTTGAAGATTTTGATAGTGTATTATCAAAACTATCGTTACAAATGATATCATGATGGTATAATAATATTGAATCAACTTATCAAAAATGTTAAATTGTAATATTGTGAATTACGGAATTAATTTTAAAAGACTGCATTGCAGAAACATTCAATGTTCGTTGAAATAATGCCTTATAAATGTTATAATTCAAAATTCGAGAATAATATTGATATTGTATGTGATATTCATATTCAAGAACATTTGGTTCCTGATATTTTAACACTATAAATACGTGGCAATATACACTAAATAGATAGATACGTTTGCTGACACAATCGTGTCAAAGATTTATATAACAAAAAAAAGAGAGAGAAGGCGAAGATTCGATGCTTTTCTTAAAAGTATCAAATCAAAGCTAAAGAAAGGTACAGATTATATCATAATAACCAATTACTTTTATCAACGATCAAACTACACTTTGAAACTCTCGATCTTTTGATTTGATAAAAGATGTGACTTTGTTCATGTTTAGATAGTTCTATGTCAAAACTGTTATAATTTCTCAGTAGTTTAACGGAGAAGTAGCATAATAGAAAAATAATGTAAAAAAAATTAGGTGATAAATTAATCTACTTGATCGATAAAGTATCAAAACAATAGTACAAAACGAAAGCTGCCAAAATGTCAGCACGGTAATTGGAGAACAATACAATTTTTTAAAAAAATTCAATTGTATAATTAAAAAATTGTTATTTTGGTATGTTGGATTCATCTATGAAGAAAAACAAAACATCTGACAAAAATAAAATCGTACAGGTTCAAAAAAATTGTAAAAGTATACCTTCAGAAGACGGTAATATCAATGTATACAGCAAACCGACGAGTACTAATATAATGGTCCTCATCATGTGGATCGATTAGATATCCTATAAAAACGCAAATAGTTTGTTATTTATTAATACAAAAATTTATAACAAGATACTTGCATTCTAAAATAGAATTTACATGAAATGTGGAATTTATTTTAGGATACGGAATGTTCTGTATATTTTATTTGAATAGAACAAATAAAAATATGCATTAAAACATATGCTTTTAAGCAATGGCGTTAGAGATCAAGCTCCCGCGCCGTCTAAACAAAGGTGCCAATTTAGTAGAACACGAGTTCTATTCTTTGTTGATACTAGATTGCACTTAAACCTTTTATCATGATTTCGCTACACTTCAAATATATATCTATTTCATTTTAAATACAAGAAGTATATATAGGCAGCAATTAAAAGATTGCAATATTTTTCTCAAACGGTTTTGCAATGTAATCTGCTCACCGAGTAATTAGTTGTTACTTAAGGATCCAAAAATAAAAGTTAATCGCTCGGTGAAAATAGGCTACTCTCCGACATTCATTAAAAAAAAAAGTATTTCTGTCTTTTAGTTGCTGATGGTACATTAGTTCAGCCATACAGATTTTGTATTATAAGTAAAAATTTTAAATCGAAGATTTGTTTGTAACGCTAAAAACAGAAACCATTATTCATAATCAAATCTTATATTTGAAAGACTTGAGAGCATTTGAGATTACTTATAGATGGTCTTAAAATAAGAACGGATTATAAGTACCGCCCAGAAAGTTGTGAATCATCTCGGGGTTTTTCGATTAAAAGACAAAAGAGAAAGAATTAAAGTTATGAAATTATTAGCTTTTGTGACAAATTATTTTTTTTTACTGCAATAGTGATAAGTTTTTGTTTATAACACAAAAAATTTGTTGCTTTACTGGATATTTTTAATACTTTGAGCTTGAGTTATTTAATATGTGAGACACGTCCTTTAATAGTTGCTATCAATAATGTAATAAAGACGGTACAGCAGAAGGATGTAGGAATTATTTCGGGTATCTTTTGTTACTACACCACTAGTATTAAACAAATTAATTTTTTCATTTAAAAAACTTTCTCTCAACATACTTACTAAGTAAGGAATTATTACATTACTGTCACACGTACTTACATATAAACGAAGAGAAGACTCAGGATGACAGCGGTCGATCGGTAAATCAGCACTAGTTCTAACGACGAATACCGACGAATACGTGCATCTGAATTACTTTCTTACGAAGCATTCACTTTATTTAAAGGAAAAGGTAATTAACAGTGTAATTATAGCAGATAATGTTACGTTTATTTTTTATCATCCCGATAAGCAAATTGCAAACATACAGGGTGCTCCCGGGTTAAACCGCCAAACTTAAATGAAGGGTCTATGAATTCAGGATCTGAAAACAAACCAAAATTTTTCTGTGGACGTATGCTAGCAAACGCTTCGTTCAAAAGATATTTACTTTGCTTTTGAAGTTACAGAACTGTAGCAATGAACAATGTCGAAATAAGGTCTATCCCCTTTATTGTTTTACAATAATTAAAATTTAATTATTAAATATTTTGTTCAAAATGATGACCTCCAGCCCGGAGACAAGCATTACATCTATCGATGAGAGAACGAGTGGCTGACAGACGTGCATCTGTAATTTCTTTGCACGCTTGCACACAAATCCTCCACATTAATGATTGCAGGTCTTTAACGGGCCCTTTATACTCTTCTTGTTTCAAAGAGTACCCTATAAAAAATCTAATGGTGTAAAATCCGGTGAACGCGGAGACCAAGCCACGGGTCCAGCACGACCGGCCCATCGGGTTTCCCCTTCGGGGAAAATGAGTATTAAACTACTGTCGAAGACCTTTGCCATAGTGAATAGGACAGACGTCCAATTCAAACCAGGAATTCATTCTGATATTCAAAGGAATGTTTTCCAAAAGTTATACAATTCATTATTTAAAAATGCGAGGAATCCATTTAGTTATTCATTTTTACACAGTTCTGTATAACTTCAGAAGTAAATATCTCTTGAACGAAGCGTTTGCGTGCATACGTTCAGAGGAAAATTTTTGTTTGTTTTCGGGTCCTAAATTCATACATATATTTTAAGTTTAGCGATTTAACCCGGCAGCACCCTGTATATTAAAAGAAATACTTAATAACCAAGTACTTATGTGACAAATTGACAAATATTTCGTAGTAATTGCCCTAGTAATTTACCATGGACTTGCGAAAGGATAGAAAATGTAACACGTATCTTTCTTCGAGGGCTTTTGTACAAACAGTGAGCTTGCCCAATGATATATAATTAATAAGTATCAAGAATAACAGGTATCTTCTATTACACACAAGATCATTAACAAACGAAACAATTTTGTTAGAATCAAGTTTTTAAATAACATTTGTCAAAAATTAACAGGAAATCCAATATTTGAGATATTTGATAATTATTTTAAACATTTGATTTAGTTATGACTGTAATTGAAACATTTAATAATTGTACTATTAATGATCTTGTGTAATAGACGACATTCTTAATACTATATATATTATCGAGCAAAGAAAGACACATGTTACATTTTCTACTTCTACCTTTCGCAATTTTAACGCATTCTTTACTTAAAATTTTGTCGTGATAATTGTTGTAACATTTTCTGTTACAACATAATATTTCTACACTATAATTGAGAAATAATTATACAAATTTTTTTACAAACATATTATGGATTAATGATTAGATCCCTTTATGTAAAATTATATTTTTAAATATTTTAAACTTATATTAAAGCTTTTTTTTGATTATGTAAAAACTTAGCGGCGAATATGTAAATTATGCGAAGTATAAATCAGAGAGAGAATATTAATTATATTTTTTGGTCTTGTTCAATTTTACGTAATGGAAGAATTAAAAGTTATGTTAAATTTGTTTTGAGTAACAAAATTATAGAATTCTTTAATAATTAAATAATCGGTAGTATTACCAGGAAAGAGTAATTATCTTGAGGTTTGTTAATAATATGCATAAGAAATTCAATATTAATGCATTCGTTTATTGATAATAAGCTTTTGTTGAACTTTCGTTTAGAGGTCATGCACGGAGAGAAATCATAAGGGATTGATAACTATACGAATATACTTAATGAATAATTCATAATATAATTATATTTTTTATATGTAACAGCAATATCAAGTATATTAGTCAGTCGATATGTACAATGCAACTATTCGCATTTGAGGCTTTTTTACGGATATTATCTTCAATTATACCAGAAGGTTTGTGGATTATCACCGTGTCTTTCTTCATTCTTAATGCCAGGCATTAAGAATGAAGAAAGACATGGCGATAACCCGCAAACCTTCTGATATAAGGCAACTATACGATTATTTTTAAGTAGATGTGGACAGATGAAGCACATTATAAATTGCACAAGTATGACTGTATAACTATATTAAAACCTCCGAAAAATTAATAATTTTGTAAATTAAAATATGTTTATGCCAGTAAAAGTATCTGGTATAAGTAAAATGTTATGTATGTAGATTGTATGATATGTATGTCTATTGCAACTATCGTGTATCGAGTGTACAAGTGTAGTCAGTTTAGCCACACATATACTTCGAATAAAACACTCCTAATTTGGTATAAACAAAAGACTCATGCCTGGGTTTTTTTCAAATGCGTGTGCTGCATCTAGCAGCGCGTGTGGCGTTATTGAGCTCTGGATACTCGATCGCGGCGGACGCGTTTCGGTTCGCGAGTGCTGTCTAATCGTATATTTTTGGGTGTTGCCGACTTTGACTGTGCATATGTATCACTTTTTGATTGTTCCGCGAATTGGACGACCCGTTCGTTCGTCCTGACGCGCGGCGGCAAGCAATATTCTATAATATTTACATGTATATAGAAATTTTCTTGCTGTCACAGGCCGCTTTTCTTTAGATTTTTCTGTCCAAATATATATTATACTCATGCGCTATTCATATTGTTCATTCGAAATTTGAGAGCCTTACGTTACATTAAGGCTTCTTCTAGAGAAATGATAATGAAATCGATAGATATATGGAATTGATGTTGATTCGATGTTGAAATCATCAATTCGACGTCGATTCCATTGTCATTTCTCACTGATGGGCTTCAATCATATTCAAAAATTCTTAATAAAATTATATAAACTAGTTATGGACTCTTTTTTGTTAAAAACAAATAAACAAACATAAATTAAAGGCTATAAAGAGTCAAACGCAGTTAACTATGCGAAAAAAAAATTTTTTTAATAATCTTACAAATTAACATTAAGAAATTCTTAATGTTAATTTGTAAGATTATTTAAAAAAATTTTTTTTTCGCATAGTTAACTGCGTTTGACTCTTTATAGCCTTTAATTTATGTTTGTTTATTTGTTTTCAATCATATTCTTTTTCAGGTACCGATTATATAGCACGACTATTCAGCCATATTGCAGGTATCGATTATATAGTATGGCTATATATTCTTACAAGTATTAATTATGAAGTATGGTTATTCCAACCATATTTTCTGAATGACTGCACTATACTACATATATACAGTATAATCTCACTGTATATATACTATAGTGCAGTCACTCAGAAAATATGGTTGGAATAACCATACTTCATAATTAATACTTGTAAGAATATACATATAGCCATACTATATAATCGATACCTGCAAGTATGATTGGAATAGCCGTGCTATATATTCGGTACCTAAAAAAGAATATGAAGAGTAAGAAATGACAATGGAATCGACTTTAATACGGTACAACTATGCTATTGCTACAATTTATATCTCAACAAAATTACTTTTTTAAAAAGAGGAAAAAAGGCGCTAAGTGTTCGCCTTACAAAAAACCGTTACATATATTATTACAGTATACAAAAAATGAAATGAAATCTTTAAATCGCGCCAATTATGAAAGGAATATATTTTCTTGTCACATATACATATAATATATATATACTTTATTTCAAAAAGTAAAAGTACAAAAAACTTGACGCTGCCAGACCTCAAAATATAATAAGTGAATGTTATATAAAAGAAATGAATGTAGTTTAATGTTTATTTTTAAATTAACATTACTCACTTATGTGTACCTATCCTTGATTTTTTTGTACATGTATTATACTTATTCTATACAAAATCTCACAATCTTACAAGTGCATTTATTTGGCACGAGACACTATATCTGTGTCTCTTGATTATCTGCATCTTAATACTGCAATTTTCTTTCTTAAATCTTTTCATTATTTTTCTTATTCGGTATTATTTAATAACCATTTTATTATTGTATATTTTGAGGTCTAGTAGCGCTAAGTTTTTTGTACTTTTATTTTTTAAATAAAGTATATGTTATATATGTGGCAAGAAAATATATTTCTTTTACAATTGGCGCAATTTAAAGATTTTATTTCATATTATTTTATAAAATTAATTATGTAATAATAGTATTAATAATTTTTACTTATTTAATACATAAAAAAGATTATAGAATTATATTAAAAATTTTATTTTGTACAATTGATTGAATTAATTAATTGCCGATATTAATTAGACTTTGATTGTAATCACTTATATTCATCACATATATTATATGGTGGTGATTATGCAAGTTTTAATAACTTTTTTTTCATAATCGTCATTATTAGTACCATTGTTGTCTAAAAGATGAATGCTTTTTCAATTTTATGTAATGAGAAAATTAAAAGTTAAGTTTGTTTTTAGGAACGAAATTATAGAATGCTTTATTAATATGCTTTATTAATAGAATAATTGATAATATTAACAAGAAAGTACAATTTTAGGATTCCCTTGAGGTTTATTAATAATATTATAAGAAATTAAATATTAATTCATTTCTTCTCATGATAATTTTCTTTATAGATATACTTTTGTGATAAACTTTATAGATAAGTTTTCGCCTAGGTCCTGCTGGTTGCCAACACCTTGGAGATTTATTTTGGAAGTTCCAGTATTTACTGTGCTATATATACAAAAATAAAAACACTTTTATTATACAATTCAAATAATTCGACGGCTAGTGTATAAATATGTACGACAGGTCTTGAGAATCATGTACAAAATAATACAACAATAAAACAATAATAAATGATTAATTTGACATCTGACTATTACATCTCCCAATTAGGCTTGAGGTTTTCTAACACGCAAATATTATATAAAAATATTATGTATAAATATTATATAAAAGATATTATATAAAAAGCTATTTAAAACAAAATTGTAACACTACGATACAATTTGAAAACAAACTGTGAAAGCATACATATACAGGGTGTCCCAGGTCCCAGAACAACCGTGAAAAATTACATGCGTAAGTAGGGCGGACTTAACTAATTTAAAATGTCCTGTACCATTTTGCGATTTGAGCAACGATTTGAGTTAACGAGATATTAATTTTTAATGATTGCCGATTTGCCAAATACGCGCGTTCATCCGGCCTACCACTGCCGTTAAGTATATGCCTACGCCGTTCGAGACATGACATTTGTGATCAACTTGTCTGCACGTAGAATTGTCCACAAACGTTCTTTATTCAAAGAAAATATCGAGGCGGGTTGGTAACGTAATGCACTCTGACTAATCGCGACGATTTCAAGCTGTTTTTCAAACCGCCGAAGATCGTTGCTCAGCTTGACTTGCGTCGACCGATACGATACGTACAAACACAAAACGCGACAAAAACTGTGTTTGGTAGAGAGATGTTGACCTGCTGACGGCTCGAGAATATCTGTACGTTGCACGCACAGCTGGTTTCGACGAAAAGCTATCGATAGGCTTTATGATGACGGGGAAAGGGGAAAATAGCCTATCGCAATCGCTACATACGTTCGAAGAATTCTAGAACCTCTTAAATATAATAATACCTTCAATGGTGATTCCCAAACAATGCCTTAATAAAGACATACAGTTTAAAAAATTAATATAAAAAATTAACGAAGAAACAAAAAGTTTTAAATTTTAATAAGAAAAGCGTTCTGTACCCATTGTGTTGTAGATAAAATCTAAGAAAGACGCAACTTTCGTATATATGCCTGGGAAACCTGGCTCAGCGCACCTATAGCCGTTTGATACCACCCCAATAATGTATGGCTTTTTTCCTGACTCCTGAATCATCAATGGTCCACCACTGTCACCCTGAAAATTATTTCGTATCACAAGAGAAATGTATTAAAAAAACATTTATGTAGCGCATATATATACTATATACATATATTTATATAATGATTGTATACGTATATATAAATCAAGCAGTCTTAACATCTTTATTAATTTTTTAATTTATTCTTGAAACTATTTATAAAGAGAAAACGCAAATTGTTAATTAATTTATTATATGGTAATTCTTCTACAATATTTTCTTTTTCTTACTTGACATGAATCTTTTCCACCTTCCATAACTCCTGCGCAAAAAACGCGATTGTCAATAGTCGCTGGATAATTCTTGTAAGCATTTGCGCATGTTGCCAGATTAATTACATTAACGTTTACCACTTTGAGTATACTGCTTGGTTGTCCCTCTGAAAACAAATACATTAGTAGCAAAGTTCAACATTTTTAGAATAAAAAGATTATTGAATATTTATTATCAGATTATAATTAGGCAAGGATCAATTTATTCCACAAATTATTAACAATAAATAATTATTATACTTACGGTATTCAGTATCCCCCCATCCACAGACGAAAACCCTCCTTCCATCTAAATTTTGATTTTTCATAGTAGCGTCCGGAAGACGAATAGCAGAACGATATTCTGAAAATTTACAAGTGTATTAATTTATCGTATCAAGACAAGAGTAAAGATTTTATGTACTAAAATAATATTTAATTTTGGAGATTACAGGAACATGACATATATAAAATTTGAAAATCTTATCACTTTATAAAAATATCCATTTAAATACCTACTTTATTATATGTTTATAAATTAATATGATTAATAATAAGCTCCGCGAGTTTGTGTCTAAATGTAATCATATCATTCTAATTTATTAGTAAAAGGGGAAAGAATAATAATTAATACGGTATTTTTACTTTTATAATTATTCTTAATGATAATATGCATCTGTCATTTAAAATTCACAGAATTTGAATGACTAATTTGCAGAAGATTAGATCGAAAGTTGATATAATCAATCCTGTAAGGAGGAAACTTCGTATAAGTTCCTAAAAAAAGGATAATGTTATGGAATATTTTTTGAAGTAACAATATACATATATCGTACGGATCTTTTTAAGGTTTTATTACATATTTTCAAGTATAAAAAAAATTTTTTATTAAAAAATAATTTTATAAAGCCTATAAATAGATGATTTTGCGGCTTTCTCATCGGAGTTGTAAAAAAGGAATTACAGTGCTTTTTGTATTGGGCCGAGGCAAAAATACGTAATAATTTTTAAGAAGAGATCCAGAAAAGAATTGAGAATTGAGAAAATATAGTACTTTTAAAATAATTACGATTTTTATCCAAGAACTTTGTTTTATGTGCGATAAAGGTTGTTTAAATTAAAGATGCTAAAGAATCTACAGGTTATCACTGTATCATTTCATGAATTTTAGCGTCCACGTCTTCAAAGCGAGGTTCATGAAACGTTTCGTCAAAACTTTATATTTTATATTCCGTAACTTTAGAAACATATTTTTTACATGTACATACATATTCATGTCGATTAAAACAAAAAAATTTCGATTTTTTGAACTAATTACATAAAGTTCTCTCTTTAGAAATTCTAATAAAAAATTTCTTACTTTTTACTTTATATTTCACATCAAATGAAATTTTCTTACTTAATCAATTTTATATCATGCGATTTTACATGAAATATAAGGAAAAAATGTTGCTTTTTTTATTTCTTCAAAAGACAAATATATAATAATTTTAAAAACAAAACAGAATAGAATAAGAATGCTTACGCGTATAAGTTATGTAGTCAACCGTTTTTATAACCGCTATATCATTCTCATAACGCTCCGCGATGTAATTGGGATGTATACGTATCCATTGGACCTTAGACAGATACGGAGTCGCTCCATCGTTATTATCGTTAATATCCAAGTCGGCAACGAGCACTGCCATATTTGATCCTTTGCAATGAGCAGCGGTCAGCACAAATCGATTGCCAATAAGAGAACCACCGCATGTCCCGTATATAGAATTTCCCACTATTCGTCCAATTAGGACCGCCCAAGGAAATTCACCTGCAAAATTAACAGCCGCAACAATAATCAAGTGCTGGAATTAATACTGACAAACTACATTTAGGTACATAATAGTTTCCATAAGTAAAGTATCAATATATTTTAATTATTAAATATTAAATGTTATAATTCTATTAAAATTTATTAAAAACGAAATGTATTAGAAATTATTCGTATTTCTCAAAATTAATTTATTGAAAAAAATATCTACTTTTAAATATTTGTAATACAAAAGGATACTGCAACATTTAAACAAGAAAAAATATATAAAATTGATAAAAAAAAATTCTTTTGCAAAATATTTTAAAATAAAAAGCAATCTTTAAAGTTTCTATGAGAAATTAGGACAATTCTTTTTTGTTAAAAATTCTGAATTCTGAAATGACCATTTGACAAGCAATGAAAATATGTGTTATGATTTTGATGCATTTCATAATGCAAAAATTATTCGTACCTAGCTTTGCGTATCTGCCACCAACGATTCTGTGTACCGACGAATTATTGTATCCGTACTCAGGTGGATCCAAAGGAACAGATGTAGAATTCGTGCTTTGACGAAACTCTCGATCGCTTTTCAAATTGATATGCCTGGTATTACCTAATAATAATAATAATAATAATTTTGATTAGTTGGTCTATCGGTCTAAAGCCAAGGGACCTTTGTTTTACATTAAACTCTTTGATTCTTCACAGTGAAAACCTTAAAAGTATTATTAGGTGCGCAACTTAATTCTCGGCTCCTTACTTCAATCGATAAGGGTACCTATTCAAATTTATATATCTGTCCCGTCATATAATTGTATTTGGAGTGTCATCTTTAAGCTTTCAATTCACTGTAATAGTTAGCAGTTGTACTAATCTAACTTAATAACAAAAGTGGTAAAAGCGCAATAACGTTCGAAAAGCAACATTTGAGGCATTGCCTCCTTTTTACTTTTCGATTAAAAAAAGAAGTGCCGCTAAAGCACAGGAAATGATTTATTCGGTTTTGGAAGAGGAAGCCGTTTCTTATAGTAAGAAGTAATTTCAGCGATTTAATAGTGAAAATTTCGTCTTTTATGATGAGAAACAGAACAGCCAAAGTTAACGATAAAGAATTCTTGTCACACACAGGATCTTGTACGGGAACTCGGAGTAGAGAACCGAGTTTTATAAATTAATATATCAAAGTTCAATAAGATTGCGGCCGAGAATTAAATTGCTCATCTAATAAAAAGATTGTAAAAGCATACCTTCAGAAAGTGGTAATATTAATGCACACAGCAAACCGATGAATACTAATATAGCCCTCATTATGTGGATCACTTATTCAGATATCCTAAAAATGCAATGTATATTATATTATTTTATTATTTATATTAATAGATATATTAATATAATTAATTAATATAATTTACAAAAAACAGATTCTTAATGTTCAAACTTTGCTATATTGAATGTAAAGTTGCCAAATTAAAAAAAAAATATGTAGACATGGTATAAGTAAAGTAGCATATAAGAATAACGGATTAGACCCGATATAGAGTAGGAGATTAGGCGATGATAATATAGAAGGAGCTTGGTGACAGAATGGTTAATCATTTTTAGGATCTCCTTAAAGTTGTGAAATTGTTAACTTTTATGATAAAGTCTCTTTTTTTTCTACTAAATAAGTTTTTGCTTATAACTTAAAAGAAATAACAATCAAATATATATAAACCTAATTCTTATGTTCTAAGTTTGAGTTGTTTAATAATCTGTGAGACTTGTTTATTGATAGTTGCTATCAATAATGTATTAAAAACGGTATAGCAAGCAGAAAAATGAAGGACGTTTCGGGTGCCGTCTTTGCTACTAAGCTATTAGCATAATAGAAATAAATTTTTTCTTTAAAAAAAATTGCTCTCTCAACATACTTACTAACAATGAGAAAAGAATTATTGCGTATTGTGTTATGTGCTCACACACAAACGGAAAGAGATTCGGAAAGCCAGTGATCGGTAGATCGCAACAAGAGCTTTAATGACGAATACCGACGAATACGGACGTCTAAATTATCTTCCTACGACGCATTCACTTTATTTAAACATAAAAACAATTAACAGTCTAATTAGCAGATAATGTTACGTTTATTTTTTATCATCCCGATAAGCAAATTACAAAGTAGAAACATATATCAAAGGAAATGCTGAATAACGAAGTACTTATGTCACAAATTGACAAATATTTTGCAGTAATTGGTCTAGTAATTCATTATGGATTTGCGAAAGAATAGAAAACGTAACACGTGTCTTCCTTCAAGAGCTGTTCTACAAACAGTGAGCTTGTCCGATGATATATTATATAATTAGTAAGTATCGAGAATAACAGGTATCGTCTATTACACAAGATTATTAATAAACGAAACAATTTTGTTAGAATAAAGTTTTTGAATGACATTTGCTAAAAATTAACAGAAAACCCGATATTTGAGACATTTTACAATTATTTATTTTAAAAAACATTTGATTTAGTTATAACTGTAATTGAAACATAATCGCACTATTAAGGATCTTGTGTAATAGACGACATCTGTCATTCTTGATACTATGTATTATTGGGCACACATGAGCTCACTTTGTGTACAGCAGCTCTCAAAGAAAGACACATATTACATTTTCTATTTCTATCTTTTGCAAATCCTTTTTAACGGATTCTTTACTTAAAATTTTATTATGATGATTGTTGTAATATTTTTTCTGTTACAATAATATTTCTACACCATAATTTAAAAATAATCGTACATTTTTTTATAAACACATTATGGATTAATAATTAGATTCCATTATGTAAAATTATATTTTTAAATGTTTTAAACCTAAAATAATTAAAATATTTTTCTTAATTATGTAAAAGTTTAGCAGCGAACATATAAATAATGTGAAATATGAATCAGAATATTAATTATATTTTTTAGTCTTATTCAATTTTACAATTTTAATGGGAGTATTAAAAATTATGTTAAATTTGTTTTGAGGAACAAAATTATAGAATTCTTTAATAATTAAATAATCAGTAATATTAATAGGAAAGAGTGATTTTCGGATTATGTTGAGGTTTGTTAATAATATTCATAAGAAATTCAATATTAATTCATTTCTTTATTGATAATAAGCTTTTGTTGAGCTTCGCCTAGGTCCTGTTGGTTGCCAACACCTTGGAGACTTATTTTGAAAGTTCCAGTATTCATTTTGCTATATATACAAAAATAAAAACACATTCATATTATATAATTAAAAAAACTCAAGCTGTTAATAAAATCTACTAAGAACTTGATCAGTTAACTGGTTCGCGTAAATACATGTATATATTGCATATATAGATATACGACTAGTCTCAGGAATTATACACAAAATAACGTAATAAAACAATAATAGTTAATTTGACGCTGAAACGCTATTACGTTCTGTAATCAGGGTTGAGGCTTTCTAGTTTGTATGATTTTTTATACATGAAATTGTTCATGCTATAATAAAGACATACAGTTTTCAAAATTTATATGAAAAATTAACAAAGAAACAAAATTTTAATAAGAAAAACGTTCCATACCCATTTCGCTTTTGATGAAATCCATTTGAGACGTAACCCTCGTATATACGCCTGGAAAACCTGGCCGAGCACATTGGTAGCCCCATGATACTACTCCAATACAGTATATCTTATTATCATTTAGCCACATCAGTGGTCCACCACTATCACCCTAAAAGTCATTTCAAATCGAAGAGAAATATATTAATAAAATGTACTAATAAAATATTTATGCAACAAACACACACAAATTATTAAAGATTTCTTCTCGTTTTTTTGTTTTACTATTAGTTTTAAAAATTAATCACTGTATTGGTGCATCATATTTACAACGAATTTGTTTCTTAGTATATATCTATTATTTATATATTAACATCATTAAATAAAAGAATAATAAAAGCGTTCATAAAAAAGATTAAGAAATTGATAGAATTATACATATTTAAATACATATTGAAATAATTTTATAGTAAAAATAATACTGAAGTAAATAATAAT